TTCAGTCCACACCATGCAGCTTCCCGGAAAGGACAGCTTCCAACAGGGGAAGGCAAACCTGCCATCCCCAGTTCCAAACAAGAGCATCAGCCAGGCCAGGCCAAAGAAGGACAAGTTTAAAGAAGGTTGCTGGCTCCCCGCAGAAAGAGATAAGAACCTAGCACTGAAGCATCAGTGACAGTCAAAATCCCTGAACCAAAATGAGGACTGCTAGGCGGGGGCAGACGCCAAACACTAGCCTCCTCAGCTCCTACAGCAGGAAGACGGTGTACCAGGGGTCAGGCTCCCCAAGCAGCTGTCGGTTACCTCTGGCAGGAAGGACCCCTTTAAGTGACAGACACACAGACCCTGGAAAGAGACAGACTTATGGCTAACAAGGGGCCCACCCAGAGCCTCCATACAGCTCCTGAGGCCAGAGGCCAAAGTTATTCCCAAAGGCCTCTACAGCGACTCACTTTAGATCAAGTCATGCCAGTCTTCTCCTGGACTCAGTTTGACAATCATTCTGCTGGCCTCTTGCCCCAACCCCAAGGGTCAACAGAACAAACTGAGGTCAGCAAGTGTTCACTCCATTCACTCTGAACCAAGTCTAAAGGACACTAAGGAAAGAGTACAAATGAGCTGAAAGGCCAGGAACTGGGTAAGAAAGAACAATGTCACCTCCAGCCACAGCAGCTCAGAGCTGTCCCTCCATCCCATGAAATGGACCTGACAGGCCAATCCTGCCTCAGACCCCAGGGTCAGGTACCAGTCTCATGCTAGCCTCCCGACACTCTAACTAGATCCAGCCCCACAACCAGAAGAAGCCCCCAGGCCTTGCTAATCAGCCCACCAAGGTTTGATTCAAAGAGCCTTGCAGTCAGTGTTGCAGTCACAAATTCAATCCTACCCCCACTCCAGAGAGGTCAGAAGCTCAGTCTCCTGGGGCCTCAGTCCACATGAGCAAGCAGCAGCAGATCTGAAAAGAGCCTCGCGGTTCACCCTCCCCTAGTCACCCTACACCTGCCAGGTGGCATACTGACCCAGTATGGCTTTGGGTGAAGTGCCAAGAAGGTCTATGTTGGGGCCATGCTTTGACTCTGTGGATGCAATGGTGGAATTTAGGTGTAAGGCTCAAAGCTCCCTGTGACCCCCCCCCTTAAGAGCAATGATGAGACAAGAGTAAGGGGCACTGGCTTTTCTAACCTTGCTGAGGCCACTAAAAGATAAAAGTTGAAATGAATCCCAACACACCCAGAAACACAGAAGACCTCTTACTCCTATTCCCTTGGCCCAGTGTCCCCATCCTAAACCCAAGTCCTCTGCCAGGACCAGGGCACTTGGTTGGAATTTGGGTGAACTCACGTGCCAGGCCACTGCTCTCTGCAGATGGGGCTGGCTGCTGGATCTCTGCTGGGTTGGTGGTTGGTGCGTTCCAGGCAGGGGGCTAAAAAAAAAAGGCCAGATCACAGAAACCTTGATGAGCTACTCCTGCCAGCAAGAAGTACCAAGAGCCTGTAAGTACCTTGTGAGTCCAAGGCCCTATCCCAAGCCCATGAGGAAATGAGACTGGAGGTTAGTGAGTGAAATTATAGTTGCTATTCATCAGGGAAGAATGAAGCAGGAAACTAGAGCCACCTCCACCCCCCACCCCATTATTTACTTAGAGCCAGAGCCCATTCCCCTAATATCATAACTAACTACTACTGTCCACTTACCATGTGCCAGGCACAAGTCTAAGGACTTTTCACATATAAATGCATTTAATTATCACAATCAACCCCATGAGGTACATACATCTTCATCTTAGAGACTGAATGAAGTTTTGACAGGTCAGGTGACTTAGGTACTACCCTAGAAATGCTGAGTAAAGGAGCAGGTATTCACACTGAGAGAATCTGACTTCAGCACCCAGTGCCAGCAGAAGGGAACCCTCCTCCCAGTGGTTAGTTGCTAGAATGGATTTTTTTTCATTGTCCCCAATGCCTTTCTTGTAGGGGAAGAATCCAGGAAGAGTGGTCTAGGGCTCCTGACAACTCTTGAGCCTTCAAGAATATTCTCCTCCTCCCTGTTACCCCAGTTTAAAAAGATCCATTCAGAGGGCTACATTGTACCCCTACTAATGGGAGGATTAAACACCTGGGCCTACCCAGTGGTGAGCCCCAAACATTCCTTCTCTGAGGAATGAGGTATCACACTAAGGCTAAAGAACTCCAAGCTCATGATCACACAAGGTCTTGGCCTTGTAAGTAAACCACCTGTCAAGAACAATCGTGAGAAACATCCCTTGTAAACACTCACTTGTGTGTGTTCCATGAAGAAATCAGAGTCCTTCTTCTCTGGGGAGTGACTGGAAACACTACTCATACTGTCTATCCAAAGCTAAAAGGGAGAAGACACCCTTGAAACATAGGGCTCTGTATATTTCCACTCACCCCACTACCCCAACCCCAGGGAACAGGCACTTACATTGGTGCCATGCCTAGCAAGGGCTGCACTCCCCAACTGCCGGATCTTTACCCGGTACATCTGGGCAGCTCGGCTATTATATTTGGTGTTTGCATCACTGGCTGTGCATCCATGTTGGCGAAAGAAAACTGTCTGGAGAGCAAAGAAGAGGAGAACCTGCTATAGGTGACTCTCTCCTAAGCAAAAGAAGCACCTCCTTATAAAAGCTCAGTAATTAATCATATAGAATGATACACTCTATTGAAACCACCAGCTTTTCATAGAGGTACAGTTCTTTAGAAATTCCTGCAAAAAACACAAGCCTCCCATCCTCTAAGATGACTGATTGAAGCCCAGTCCTCACTCAACTGTGCCTGAGGAAGCATGCCATACCCACTCTCCACGCCCACAGGACCTGGACTGTGGAGACCCCCAATTCCCTCAGTCTTTCTCCAAGAAAGTTGTCCAATTTAGTTCAAATCTGAAGCCCCTCTGAGAAGGGTGACCTATTTCCAAGTTTAGAGAATAGTGTACAGTGTTCTTATAGACCAGAAATCCTCTAAAAGGAGAAATTAAGAGATCCTCCTAGAAAGTCACTGTAGAGTTAGTACCCACACAAAATAATGGGGTCGGGAGGGGTGGTAAGAAGTTTACCGCATTGGCATTCCCGCCGATCTGCATACACCTCAGCTGTAACCAGTTCCAGTGGGAATCCAACTCTGTGGACCTGCGTGCAAGGGCTGTGTGTCACACCAGCAGATACCAGAAGACGCTTCCCTGGCAGACCCACTCTCGACATTTGGCCTTGGGCTGCAGTAGGCCCAATTAATCAGCTACTGCTCTATTTCCTGTGCATGAAAGTTTTGCTCTTCATTCATCTAGTCAAAAGAGTACTTATTTTCCAGATGCAAAAGGAGGTCGACACCTCAGGCACTCAAGCTTGGGTTTGACTTTCTCCTTACGAATGGCCACAGTCTCACCTCAGACACACTCGACCACTATTACCAGTAAAATAACAAGGTCAATGCAGCTAACGTTTCCCCGAAACTAACGCTCGGAGTCTCCGTTTGAACGCCAGGAAAGAAAGAAGTTTTGACCCAGACGGCTCAAACTGCCTGAGGGGCCCACACAGGCGGTTCCCTCCCGTGGGAGGCTACCGGTACCCAAGCCGGGAGGTTTCTGAACACCGATTCAGGGCGGTCTGAGTCGGGGCAGCCACTCTCCCTTGGTCAGCACACATCCACGGCCGGCCAGGTAGAAGCACAGGAGGGGCAATAAGATCCCACCTGATGAAGCTGAGATGGACGCCGAGGGAGCGGTGCACTCCGGAGCAGTCAATGCACAAGAAAACGCCGTACGTGATGCTGGCCCAACTCGGATTCTTGGCGCCACAGTCGAAGCAGGCCTGGGAGGAAGTGATGAGCTAATGGTCAGGGGCCAGGAGTGGAGGCTGGGCGCTGACACCCCAAGAAAACAATCCACGTCCGCCCCTGTTCCTCCCTCACACCCCAAGGAAACCTAGAGTTCCCCCTCGGACAACGCCCGACACCGCGCGCCTCCGGCTCATCCACCTTGTTCGTCGGAATTGCGCGAAGTCTCTTAAAAATAGTCTGGATTTCGGTCTTGCCCGGCTCCGCAGCCATTTTCTCTCCTTCCCAGACACCAGCGCGACCGAAGGGTGCTGCCAAGGGCCAATCCGCGGCCCGGAAGGCTGGGTTACCGCGGCGGCCCGCCCAGTCCCCGGTCAGCCGAGGGGTGGGTGATTTGTCTCCATCTGGACCAATGAGCGGCTGGCAGGCCTGGAGCCCAGTTGACAGAAGCCGTGTCTACCACGGTCGCACTAATCCACGCAGCGCCTCGCAGGGGCCAATCCGCAGCCAGAGCTTAGCGACGGCTCGCCGGCTGGCCCAAACCTCGCTGGGAGAGTTTGCTGGAGCCACCTCCCAGAAGGCGTGGGCTGTAAGCCAAGGGACCTGGGCCTGGAACCCAGTTAGAAGAGGCATGGCTCAGGCAGAAGGATGTCAAGGTCAGCAAGCCTCTCCACACCAGACCCTGAATACAGCCGTTTCCACCCCTAGTTAGGGTCCTGAAGTTCCAGAACAGGTACCAAGCTGGCAAACCTTTGCCCAAGCCCCGCCCCCATAACATGTCTGATGCCTGAGGACCTCCACTCAGTGCCTCTCTCCAGAAGCCCCCTGCAGCCTGGCAAGGGTGGAGTATCAAAAAAGATGCACACAAGCCTGACAGTGCTTTTTTCCCCAAGTTTAATACACACTAGAACAAGCCACACAAGAGACTGACGTTAGCCCAGAACTACACTCACCCCCAAGCCCACCCCCAGGAACCCCAAAACACCGACTGGGAACTGGGTCCACTGCTCTGGAGAGACCCCACTCTTGGGGATGCCCAGACACCCCTGAGCTCTTCGGTCACCTCCTGACCTCCCCATCATCCCCTCACCCTAGACTCAGTTGCCCCTTCCCTACCCGTCTCTTCCTGGATGCACCCCTCTGCCCATCCAAGGACTTCCTCCCTACTTAAAAGGACAGGGGCAGCAGGGGCACTATGGTTCAGGGCCTTCAGGTCCAGCTGTCCAGGAGAAGCTGGGCTCTGACTCAGGATGAAGAAACGTTGCAGAAGGGGTGTCAGATTATGTCAGGCCCCCACACACTCCACGTAATTGGCAGGGTACAGGCCAATTTGGCCACTCTGCAACTGGCCTTGGCACCAGCCCTGCTCATCCTCATCACTCATCTTCAGCAGCTCCTCCCCTGGAGGGGAAAAGGGATTAGTCACTGCCAACTGTCCTGGCCCAGCCCTGTTCCTGTAGTTGGATCAAGCCAAGGACAGAGGGGGAGGGAGTAGTTCAAGAACCCAGTTAGAAGAGGCATGGCTCAGGCAGAAGGATGTCAAGGTCAGCAAGCCTCTCCACACCAGACCCTGAATACAGCTATCAGCCCCAGCTTGTGAGGAAGGTGAGGGTTTGGAGGAGATACCCTGATCCTTGGGGTCTGGAGGCAGAGCAGCCTTAAGTGTCAGGCCTTGAGAAATGAGTGTCTGGCTTCCTCTTTCTACACCCTTGCTCAGGCTAGTAAAGGGGGTGGGGAAAGGGCTGAAGCCTGCAAAGGAACAGGAAAGGGGTCCCAGGGTACCTGCTCGGAAGCTCAGCTCATCGGCTTCCTGGCCAGCATAGTCGTAGAGTGCCCGCACCCGTACCCCACTGGTAGCCTTCCAGGGACTCTCCTCATCCGACCACTCCTCACCCTGCCCACTGCTAGAGAGGGAAGGCAGAAGGAGGCAGGCTCAGGGCACAAGGAACACCTTGAGCAAGAGTGCCTACAACTCAGGGACAAGGGCCCACCCCCTGGAAGAACCCTGGGAGAGGCAGGTGGGGAAAAACTGGAAGACTGTAATTTCTGCCACACGTGCCTGTAAGCTCAGTGCACTCCTGGCACACAGAGCTGCTATGAGCAGTAGATGAAAGAGAATGTGGGAAAACTGGCATCATTGCAACTACTGAGTCCTAAGGTAGTCTGGCACCAATTTTCAACCCACTTCAGGCATGAAGGGAATGAAGGGAAGGAGACAGAGGGAAGGCAGGCAGGGCAGGAGGCAGAGCTGTTTCCTTCCCACAGCCAGGCTCCTGGCTCTCACCCTGGGGACCCCACGGGCTGGGGTGGAGGTGCAGCGCCATCTCTTGTGGGCACGATGCTGGTCAGAGTAACCTCATCAGGGTCCCAGCCACCCTTCTCCTTCTGGCTGATTGTCCTCTGTATGTCCAAGGACCACTCCTATGGAGACAGTGCTTAGGGTCAGCCTGGGCTTCAGTCTATGGTGGCAACCAGGGCCATCCAGACCACTTTCACCTACTTCACCCCAAGCCCAAGCCTCCCTCCTGAGGTGTAGGCTGAGCTCAGACCAACCTACCCCACCTCTTGGAACCTTGCCCCAGCAAGCCTAGAACACACCTCGAACTGTGGCCAGTTCATGGCCATGCCTGGCCCATGGGTGCCACGCCACCAGCGCAGGTCCTCTTCATCACTGGCTGCCTCAATGGCCTGATGCAAGTCTCGGTGGAGTTCAAGGAACCTGTAGCCAAAGGTGCAGCCCTCAGATTACCAAGCCCTGGCCCCTGAACCCCACAATCTCATTCAGCCTGGCCAGAAGCAGGGGGTGAAGGAGACAAAGCATCACCCAGATTGCCACACCCACCCCGCAGGTCATACTTCTCATTGCTGGAGAGGTCAAGGTGCTGATGTAAAGTGAGCAGCATATCCTTGAAGAAGAGAAGACGCTGGCGTTCAGTGGCCTGGCAGGTCTCGAAGGCCTGCTCCATGTCCTCCATGTAGCGTGGGGTGTAGCGATGCAGCTCTGCCAGCATCTGCTCATACTGGGTTTTCATCTAGGTGGGAGAGGACGGGGGCTGGTGAAAGGAAGACCTTCTTCTACTCAGGACTCCACTAGGATTTCCTGAGCACCTGTCATGGGCATCTAGACCCTGGATTAGGTACCACGGGCAATGTGTCCCAAGACCCAGCTCCTGCCCTCTACGACTGCAGCAGCCTAACAAGGGAGGTGAAATTTGGGGACCAGCTTTATGAGTCTGGAATGAGCAGATACCAAGAGTGAGACAGAGAAAGTGAGATGGGGCCAATCTACAGGGAGGGGTGGAAAAAATCAGACAAGCTTTCATGGAGGAGGTGGGCACTGAGCAGCAGCACCTCAGAGGACAGGGAGAATGTGGGTATGCAGAGCTGGCAACCTGACAACTTGTCCTAGGTGGCACACTGTGAAAGGAAAAGAGCTGGAAGGTGTTCATCCCACTACCTAAAATGGCACCATTTCTGTCCCTGAGGAAAGCATCTTTTCTCCAGTTCCTCCTTTAAATGATAATCTAGAGAGGGTGGCAGATGTGAATAAGAGCAGTAAAAGTGCTGGGACCTGAAGGCCTTCTGGAAGCCCTGAGCTACCTTCTCGGCCTCCTTGGTGCAGCGCTCCATCCGCTCTTGCAGCTTACGCAGCTGCTCCTGGGAGACTGCACTGTCTGCTTTCGCGTGACTCTCCCGAGTCTGAGCTGTCTTCTCCTCCTTCCGGGTTGTGTGGTAGCTCTTCTTGGAAGCCTCAACCTGGCATACACGGGGAGCACTCTGAATCCTGTGTGCCATGACCCAGTCCCCTCTAGTCCTGGGCACACCCAGGAAGTGGCATGCTTCTGATGCCCATCCATCCCAGGCTCACCTCCTTCAGCCTCTTTAGCCAGGGCTTCTGGGCCTTGCGGAAGCCTTCCTCAGCAGCCCGGCTCTCCCGGAAGCCACCCAGCACAGGTCTGTGGAAGGCTCCCCGCTGCCAGGTGCGCACACGCTCACTGTCCTGCCCCTGCAGCTTCTCCCGCACCTCCAGGTGCAGCGTGCTCAGTCGCTCAGCTGCTGTGAAGAAGGCGTGCCAGGCCTTCTCCAGCGTGCCATACTGGGGGCCTGTGGGGAGGGATGGGGCTTGGGTCAGGCAATGGTCAATGCTGGAATCAATCCTACCCCCCACTCCTTGGCTGCTGCTCCAGGTGTCAGGCACACAGGAGGAGGCACTGATGAACAACATCAGCTAATATTTACAGAACACTTACTCTGTGCTTGACATACAAGATCTCACTGAATCCTGCCTCATCCACCACAGTGAAGACAATGTCACAATCAACTTTAACGGTGAAAAGACAACAGCCCAGAGAAGCAAAGTTAAATGCCCAAAGCATTACAGCTACAAGTGGAGTTGAGATTCAAACCCAGGTCTGTGGCATAAAGCACTACACTCTAGTGCCTCAGAGAGAAGAATCTGTCCATCCTGGAAGAAGGCAGCTTGTTAGGGTAGAAAGATCCCAAGCTCCTGAGACAGAGGGCCTGGATTCAAGCTTCAGCTCTTCCTAGCTATGTGACTTCAGGCAAGACACTTAGCCACGCTGACCTTCTGAATTGTCCTCTAGAAAATGGTCAGAACGACTGTCTCTATCGTAGGGTTGTTAGGAATATCAAAATAACTCATGACCATGAGTTTACTTTGTAAACTCTGTAAGAGCACAACTGTGAGAATAACTGAGACAATCTTCCCTCTTTAAAGGGAAGGCAGATGTGGAAGCCTCAATCTTTCCACAAGAGGCGCAAAAAGAAGCTGTCCTGCCCGGTCTCCCTGCTTCCTCCTAGGCCCAAGCACTGGTTCACCTTTCTCCACAACGCCTCTCCACTTGCGGGCCCATTCAGCCAGCTGCTGGGCATAGGTCTTCTCGATGCGGGCACGCTCCTGGAAGCAGCTGATCAGGTCCCCGCACAACCGATGCCCATCCTCCACCCGCTGCACCGTCCACCTGTAGTTGCCAGCCTAGGGTATATACAGGATGGGCAGTGTCATCGGGGAGAGACCCGCTCAAGATCTGGGGCTCACAGCTAGGCTCCTCTGGACAGGTAGCTGGGTCCAGAGAGGTGTAGGAATTTTGGTGCCTTCCCCGCCAAACCTGGAACCCAGACGCTCACCTCCCAGAAACTGCCCTCTAGGGCCTTCCCTCCAGCGTCTTCCTCTGGAGCCATGGTGTCCCCGCAGCACAAAATGGTGGCAGATTGGGGCTGTGGAGGGCAGAGGGGTAAGCAGGGAAGCCACACATATGCTTTTGGGGATAGGAAAAGCCACTCTCTTCTCCCTGGGCTTTGCCTCTACTGCCATCCCCACCACCCAAGGAGCTGCCAGAGCTAGGACTTAGCAGACGGGAGTCTGGAAGTACCCAGGAGGGGCTGGGACAGGAGCCGGGACAGCAGTTTCAAAGCTCCTTCTCTTGCCCCAGGTCTGCCCTTCCCACCCTTCACCCCACTCCATGTACCTGGGGCCTAGAAATTACTTCAGGAGCCTGTGTGTCCAACTCTCAAAGCTGTCGCTGTGATTCTGCCTTGATGCTAACAGGACCAAAGCAGGGGGTGAGAATGGGGACCTATAGTGTCCAGGGCAGTGCCCTGCTCCCCTGATATAGCAACTGCTGTCAGAAGCACAAGATTCCAGCCAGGAGAATGCCAGGCGAGTCACACGATCCAGCCAGGGATTATACAGCAGGCTGGAGTGGGCGGGCAGAAGGCCCCACTCCCCTGACTACAGATGACAGAGGAGGATGTCTACCCAAGCCAGAGCCCTGTTGCCTTCTTGCCTTTCCTTGAACAAGGTGGCACTTTCCCAGACCAGGCCAAGTCAGAGGGTGCGCAGCCATACCCCCAGCAGCCATAAGCTGCTGGGGGTATGGCTGTCCTCTTCTAAGGGAGGGCATTTTACTGTCCTCTTCTAAGGAAGCCTTAGCTCCCTCCTAAGATGGAAGTTCCACCTCCCGGTCTGCTTCTGTGCCATGCCTGGTGTAAGACTCAAACCAAGCAATGAACAAAAAATGTCAGGGGCCCAACAGTCACAAGGGACAGTATTCCTATTCCATGGCATCCACGAAGGTCCCACAGGGCTCTGCAGGTAATAAGTAACTCAGTCCTGTCCTCAAAAAGCCAAGTCTGGGACAGCATTGGGGAGTCAGACAGGTGATCAACCAGATATAAGAGTTTCTCCAGAATTGTAGAAAAGGGCAAGGCCGATTCCAACTCCAGAACCACCAGCCCAGAGACTAGCTGATACCCTGCCTCTGGGCAGGGTATCAGCTGTCCTCAGTACCAACTCAAGCCCAGTAGACACACCAGGCCCAGGAGGATGAGTGCGTGCCCGTTGCCTCCAAAGCAGGGCTCTACAACAATATTCCCATCAGTTTACTCCAAACTGATGAACTCCTAACCATCCTTCAAAACTCAAATTAAGGCATTTTCTCCATATTCCTCCATCCCCAACCCCAAAGCCCCTTGTGACCCTTCAGGCAGAGTATACATTCCACTGGGTATGACTGACAGGGCAGGATGTGTCCCCAGTCATTGGTAGAGACTTCCATGGGGCAGTGCAATTAGCAGTTGAATGAAAAAAAATGACATTCACCTGATGACCAGAAAACCCACTGGCTAGAGCAGCTGTGAGAAAGCTTGAGTGGGCTTCCACCCTTCTGCTAAGAAGAGGGTGGGCTCAGGCCTGCCATGGAGGTGCAGGTGCCTGGGCATAGAGCAGAAGAGGGGCAGAGCAGCTGGCCCCACCAGGGTCCTCAGGGTTTCACCTGGCTTCCTCTTGAGTCTGTCTGCCCAGAAAGGACTTGCCAACCCGATGGGGAGAAATAGAGCAGCAGCTGTAAATCATAGAGCCTTCAGATCTGTCCCAGTCAAGAATCCAGGGGCCTTGGCCTCCTGCCTGCTCCAGCCTCCAGACTCCTGGGAGAGCTGCCCCCCACCATTCCCTCTCTCTGGCCCAGAACAGAGCAAGCTGTGTGTGAAGGCTGGCACTGCTCCCTCTGGCGTCCCGGAGCAAACACAAACCCAAGCCCCAGGCACAGCCAGGTCCCACAGCCTCAGATTCATCTAACTGTGGGGGTAGGCCTTGTGCCTTAGCTCCTGCTGAGGAAGGCCAGCACCCTGTGCCTCCTGAGCTCAGCAGAGACTCAAATTAGTCACCAGAACACACTCTGCCATGGCCAAGAGCTCAGCAAGCAAATTATGGATGCTTCCCAGCCCAGGAGCCAGCACCCAGGGGTTGGGAGAAGTCTGCTGGCACTTGGCAGGGTCTCTTCATAGCTGCCTGGGCCAAGGCAGGGAATCCTGAGGTTCAGGGAAGAACCCACTCTCCCTACCTAAGGCCAGTAGCTATCCCAGCCACCTGCCCATCCCCAGACCAGCTACCACCCTTTCCAGCAGCTGGGGTCAGGAGGGAGCACGGCCATTCCTGCCCTGCCCATCCTCTGTCCTGAGTCACCAGTTGAGCCCAATAGCTTCTTCTCCCAGCAGCCATTCCAGTTGCTGGCAGCCTGAGGATTTCAAGGCACAGGAGAGGGTGGTCGACTGCTCCAGGGAAGGGTACCTAGGCTGGCTCGGCTAGAACCAGCAGCCAGAGCGGCTGGGAGGCTGGGGGAGGGGTGACGCGGGCAAAGGGAGGAGGCAGGGCCAGGGAGGGGCCTAACAAAGGGGCACTTCTGGAAACCCGACCTGCTCCTGCAGTGCCTGCGCCCCAATGACGCACGCCAAACCCAGAGCCTACACGCCAAACCTCGGAGCCCAGGGGCTGCCCTCTCTGGCCTCAACTCTTATGGACCGCGCCCTTTGGCCCCTCTTGCCAGCCCCGCACTGCACAACTCGGAGCCCACGCGGAGCGGCCCAGCCAGGCCTAACCATGGAGGCTCTAGGAATTCTTGGTCAAACTTGTTGAACTTGGTCGGCGTGGGTGGGGCCAGCCGATCACCGCTGAGGGGGCTGGGGGGGTGCACCCTGCCTGGGTCGGTCCAGAGGTGGCCTCCAGATGGTGGTCCGGGGCAGTGGCTCCAGGTATTGGGGTTCAATGCTGAGGGCGAAGGGTCGCCGGGGAGTGAGGCCTCTCTTGGGGCCCCAGGGTGGCTTGGGGCTTCTGGGGGACCCCAGGAGATGTGTGGTCGTCCAGCCCCGAAGCCCCCCTCTCCCCGGCCGGCCTGGGGAGTTGCGACGCGCGCCACGCCTATGAGACACCCCCTCGGCTTGGCGGCAGCTCTTCCCGTCCTTGTGCAGAGATTGGGTGGCCGGGGGCTCTCGGGGGGGTGGGGGGGGAGTAGGTCCCATTGCAAACTTCAGGAGCTGAAGAGGAGACGGCGGGCTCGAGTTGCAGCTCCCGCCGCCGTCTCCCCGCGGTTCCCGCCTGGGCAGCACTCACCGCGTTTCTCCGTGGGCGCCTCGCCGGGTGGGGTTCGGGCCGCATTCCCGCCCGAGTCCTGCCTCTCCCGGGTCGCGACCGCCGCCTCCCAGAGCACGCCGGATCCTCCCCCGGGAAGCCCGGCCCCCGGACCCGCCCTCTCTTCGCCGCAGCTGCCCCAACCCCACCAGCCAGCGTCCGGGGCGCGGGGGCTGTAGGCATCCTGGCACCCAGCGGTTCCCCAGCAGAGGGCCTTGGGGTCTCGTTTCCAGCAAGAGCAGCGCCTGGGCGGACTCCCCAGGGTGGCGCCGCGCCGCTATACAGAGTCAGATTTCGACTTTGCCCTCCCTGGCCTTTACAGAGTCTGTAAGACTGGTGGAAGTGGGACGGGATTGGCCTGGGGGCCTGCACGGCCACCACTTGGAGGGAGGCCAGGGGGCTACACTACCTTTTTTTTTTTTACCCGAGCACAGCTTTCTTAGAAGTTAGCTCCGGCAAGGCTCACAACCGTCCCTTTGTAAGCATTAAGATTCCCATTGTAGAGATATGGAAACTGAGGCTCAGAGGCCTTCAGCAGCTTGCATAGATCTGACGTCAGGGAGGACTTGGAGTCCAAAGCCGTGCCCTCTCTGTGCACAGCCCTGCTTGCCAATTTCGGGGCCCACTCTGAGGCAGACTAGCGGTGGCGAGAGGTGGGGAGGATGAGCCCCTCCCCCTCCTTGTTCTCATTCCCATATTTTGTATCACGAATCATTCTTAAATCCCTTCTCCCCTCTACCCCTTTTTCAGTCACCAGCCTTGGTAAATTTTACCAGATGTCACCCCACCCCACATCTTAATAAATCTCTGCTTCCTCACCCCCTTACCCTCCACCCCGGGATTTTTCGGAGCCTGCCCGTTTGTTATTTATATCCATCCACTGGAGCGGTCCAAGAATGTTCCGAGGCTGACCTAATCGCCACCTGCTCTGGATCCTCTCCTCTCCCGCTCTCTCCTGGGCAGGGTGACCCAGAGGCTGAGCCCTCCGCCCAGCAGGCGAGAGGGAGCGCGGGGCGGCGGAGTCCGACGACCGCAGCGCTCAGAGGATCCAGACCGCGCAAATTCGCTCGGGGTTGGAGAGCCCCAAGCGCGCGCTGGGAGGAGTGCGACCCCAGGGGACAGAGCCGCGCTCTGGGAAGCCAAGGGCCAAGCAGTTCTTTCTCCAGGACTTACTCTTCGTCCCCACCCCTTATCGCTACCCTGCCACCCACCCACCCACCCCATTCCCTGAGGAGTGTATGTGTGAGTGGACTTTTAAATAGCAAAATTATGTTTCTAAATCCCGGAGGAATCACTGGCGCATTCTTTATGAAGATAAATACGCTCATAAAATGGAAAAGGAGGCCTGAAGACAATGAATGGGGATAATTACAGGTGGTATGTTAGCTGCTGAAGGCTGACTTGCTCCGCAGTGTCCTAGTGGGAGGGTAAAACCGCCTGAAGACGCGTTTGGCAAATCAGACCTGAGTAGTGGATTCTGGCTGTGGCGCTCACAGGGTGTAGTATCCAGCAGAATGTGGCTTCTGAAACCAGTTTCAACACCCACTCTTTTGGGGCTTAGACTAGTACCTTTCCTCCATATCTCTGCTTCTACCTCTATGAAATATGACAGGTGACAGGGCTGACCTCCCCAACTGGACCATGTGCCCCAACTAATTAGTGATTGTATAACAACTGCAAATGAGACCAGGGGTAATATCTAATGACAGCTATAGTGTTTGTATTATTTTGAATCATTTAACATCCCACCTAGTGCCTGAGGGCATTCAGGCACCCAGACAGAAAGTGCAAAAACACAAGGATGAAATTAATTAGAGGAGTCACCTATTAAAACCCTGTTATATATAAAAGGCTGAAAGCCAAGCTCGGGGATCCAGGGAAGCCAGGCTGTAGAGAGACTCAGATAACAGAGCTGTTCCTCAGACCACAAGGAGAAGGGGATGCTGAGTGGAAAACATCTGGCTTCCCTTGGGTTGGAATCTGGAAGCAGAAATGTTGCAGCTGATTTTAATTGCCCCTAAGGTACTGTAGGGAGGGAAAATCAACCAACCAACCAGAACATACAAAGCTGCTTCAGAGGTGAAAGGGGACAGAGCTGCCCTTGGCAAGCCAGCCATTTGCTAGGACTGCCCCCAGGGCTCAGGGCCCCTACACACTCACACGGCTCCATCAGTACAGTACCCAACTTGAACAGAGTTCAAGAAGAGATGCCTGAGGTCAGAGGGCTGGATAGACAAAAAGAGAGAGGCAGCTTGGCTCGGGGCACCAGGTGGCAGACTGGTCCAAAGCCCAAGCTCACAACACAGACTCACTCACCTTGAGCTTCTGGAATGTCCTAACCACTGTGCCTTCATATGTTTATTTATTTACTCATTAATTCATCCAGTCAAGAAAACATTTTGATTTTTGTTCTATGTTAAGCCCTGTGCTAGGTATTGGGAATACAAAAATAAATAAGAGCCCTAAGTGTACAATAATGATACAATGTGGATGCAAAGTTCTACAGGAAAACAAGCAGAAGAGACCCCCCCTTTCACCAGGTGATGACACTTATTTGGTCTGATTGATGAGCAGGGATGAGTCATGTGGAGAGGCATTCCAGGCGAGAGCAACAGGGTATGCCAAACCCCAGAGGTGTTAGCATAGGACTTGGTGACCCAGCAATTCCACTTTTTGCTCTCTACCCTTGACAAACACATGTACCAGTCAGAAAAGGGTACAAGGATGTTTGCATAAGTATTGTTTGCAATAAGGGAAAGCTGGAGACAATTGTCCATCAAGAGGCTGCTTGCTAGCCAGTGGATCACCAAGGTGAACAGGCCAGACAGCGCCCAGAGGCCTAGCCCAGGGACTCCCTCCAGGGGCAGGATGGTCAGAACCCAGGCTCTGCCACTCAGAGTGGCCCACTGACCAAGTCAGCCTGGCTGTATTATCCTGTGCATACAACCAGAGATTTGGAAATAATAAAACACCAAAGTACAGGGGAAAAAAAAAGGCTGAATAACCTAAAGTTTATTCATGCTGTGGATTGCTCCACAATAATAAAGCACAAGGTAGACATGTGATCTTTTATGAAGACCTCCAAAACACTGTTGAATTAAGAAAGTAAAATGCAGAGCACAAAATATTCAGAGAGAATATATACCAAACTGATTTTGGTGGTTATCTCTAGGGAGAGGCCTAGAATTGGTAAAGGAGATTTTTGTAACATTAGAACATTAACAATGAGAACTATTATGTGTAAATTGTATCATTAAAATAGTTTCTTTAGCAGCTAAAGTCTAAAACAGTGCTTTCCAAATAGCATTTCTGCAGTGATGGAAATGTTCTAGAGCTGCTCTGTCTAGTACAGTAGCCACTAGCCGCATATGGCTCTTGAGCACTTGAAACCTAGCAAGTGAGACTGAAGGAAGTGAATTTATTTAAGTTAACTTAAATTTTAAAGCCACATGTGACTAGTTGTAACCATATTGGACAGGCCTGGTCTAGAATATCTATAATATGAGTTCAGAATTGGGTGGAGGCAGACAATAGATAAGGCTAGAAAGATGGGTTGGGATTGCATGGGGGATTTGAAAGGTGGCCTAAAGAGTTTGGACTTTATCCTGTAAGCAGGGGGAAGTACGAATAGGAGTGACTAGATCAAATTTAGCCTTTTAAAAGATAAAACTCTGGCAGCCCTGGGGAGGGTAGATTAGAGCAGGCAGAAGGCTACAAACAGGATTTGTTTCCCCAGAAGCCTGCCATGGCCTCTAGACATTGCCCCAGCATTCCTGACCCGCAGCTGAGTAAAGTATTCTGATTCAACAACTACATTTTTAAGATCTCAGGCAACCCCAAAGTGGAAAAACTGGTCCAAGTTATTGAGAGGGTTAACCTCAGTGGTGGAGGCTGGTTCTGGGTTAAAACTGCAGGAAGAACAGCAAATGGATGGCATTAGAGTGAAAATGCAAAGCAGGTTTCAGAGTGGGGCCTACAGAGAAAGCTGTTCCGGGGTCAGGATTGCCAGGGGCAGATTCTTTGGTTGGCTCTGTGGAGTTCCCCTTGGGTAATCCCACTTAGGGAGGCTGAGGAAGGCTGCCCTGGTTCATTTGCACCCTTCCCTGAAGCCCACCAGGGGCCTTTTCACTGGTGAAAGAGTTCCAGTGGAGGAGCTGCTAGTTTAGCTGCCTTTCAAGGCACACCTACTGTGCCAAATGCCATGATGGGTGCTTGGTCCACAATTCCTTATTTCATGGAGTTTTCCACTAAAATCAAATAGGCCTGATGATAATAAGTTATGACAAGTGTTTTAAAGAAACAAAAAGTACAGTGCTATGAGAGAATAATAGGGGAAGAACAACTTCAATACAGGGAGGGTTAGAGAAGACCCTCAGGAATTTTAAGCTTCTCAACTCCAAAAGGCCCAAAACATCCAAAAGACAAATAGAGTTTGCTTAGTGAAGAAGGAACCTAGGAGAAAGCATTCCAGGTGGAAAGGCTGATGGGTACAAAGGCCCTGAAATGGCAGCTTGACCTGGGAAAGAGGAGTAGAGAGGGTAGGTGTGGTAGATGAGAGGTTGAGAGGGCCAGAGTGAGGTAAGCCAGGGTGGGCCACACCCGGACACTGCAAGCTTTGTTTTATCCTGAGTGTGGAATTTAAGCAGAAGAGAGACCTGAATGTCTTCCTGCATATTGTGTGAGGAATGGATTACAGCAAACTGTAGCCCAGAAGGCCCACAAGCTAATAATGAGCTTTACTTTTTTAAATAGTTGAAAAGAATCAAAAGAATGATAGTTTGCGGTATATGAAGGTTACAAGGAATTCAAGTTTCAGTATCCATACATAAAGTTTTACTGGAACACAGCCGTGCTCATTTGTTTACAAATTGCGGCTGCTTTTGCACACTAGTGTCAAAGCTGCATGTTAAGCGGAGATTATATAGCCTGCAAAGCCTAAAATATTCTCTATCAAGCCCTTTTCACAAAAGCTTTGCCACCCTGGATTAGAAGAAGACTGATTAGGAGGTCACTGCAGTCCTCCAGGTGCAAGATGATAAGGGATTGTTCTAGGGTGGCAGCCATGGAGGTGCTCAGTGCAAGGACTGAAGCAGCATT